GTAGAATTTCTAGGACTTGATAACTTATGGGATGTGAAAAAGACAGAGTCAAAAGTAATAGAAACTTTTACTATGGCCACCTGGGTGGGTGGTGTGCCATTAATGGAGAAAGGTAATATGGGAAGAAAAATAGGTCAGGGTTGGGGCAGGCAGGGGAGAGTTCAGCCTTGGACCTACTGAGATTGAACTGCTACATCACACTGAGATGTCCCGGAAGTGGTTGAAACTTTTCTAGGCAGAAGGACTGGCAGTAACTAAGGTGTCAAGAGGGGAATGCACAGGATGTTTTTGGAGATCCTTCCAGATCCTGGACTGAAAGCCTAATAGGCTGGGGAGAGGCAGGAGTAAGGCTGTCTGGAGAAGTAGACATGTTTTCTGGGGGTTGTTTTGGGCTCCACCATTGATGGGACATGTGATGATTATGAAATGGATCCACTGCTTCCCTATGGGTTCCATTGACAAAGTCAGATGAAGGACTTAGCACCACTTTGGGGGGAAAAATCACTTGCCTGAAAAAAGCAGTCACTTGAATGACTGTAATAAAAGTGATGAACACTCTTCTTTCACTGTTTTGGAAGTACAGTATAGAGGTTTGGATTATGGGCTCTAGAACTATGCTGCTTGGTTTTAAATACTGGTTCCAGAATTGTTCGGGTTGCTTAAGATTCAGTTTCCTCATCTGTGAAGTATCTAAAGTATGAGAGTAAATAAAATGATGTAAACAAACTGTCTGTTACATAATACATTTGCAATAATGTAGAATTATTAGTTCTAATGGTACTTTTTGAAGAGAATGTAAAGGACTTGATTACTTTGTGTGCTGATAAATGCTCCATATTTCCTTCCAAGACTGTTTTAAATTCTATTGAAATCGAAGGCCATTTTCCTCATGCCCTTTTCCTTACTCAAACAGAAATGCAAAAGATCAGATCTGAGATCACACTACCTGATTTTAGTCTATTTAATTTCTTTTACTTCTTAATGCTGAAAACATTACCACAATGTAGCACACAAGTTCACAATTTGGGCAACCCCTTTCCTTTTATTCGTTTTGCTTGTTTTGCAACACACACTACAGTCCCTTACATGCTTTCAGTGGAACGATGTTGTTTCCATGACGCACAGAAACTGCATCTGACTCAAGGAGATGAAGTGTTAAGAGGCAGACAGGGCTGGCCTTGGGCGCAGACTAAACTGGGGCAATGTGGGAGGCAGGACAGCATGGCCTGTACCTAGAGCATCACCAATGTCTGCATGAGGGAGGAAGGGAGGAAAGAAGCGGAGGAGGCAGGAAGGAAGGTAGGAGTTGAGCAGAGATGGGGGTGAGGGTGACAACGGGGAAAGAAAAGAAGGAAGAATGAATAAAAGAAGAGGGAGGAAGGAAAAAGTCTTGAGAGGAATGAATCACAACTAACACTGGTTGAATGCCAAAGAATAGCCAGAAGCTTCCTTGAGAGAAGGTCCTGTGTCCAGGGCCTGCCATTATGGGTGCCTCTTGGCTGTTTCTTTTGGGCTGGGTGCAGGGCTGGTATGGGCTGCGGCGTTGTCTGTGGCCGAGCAAATTGTTCAGCGCCTTTCTATGATGGAGTGGGGTCAGATTGGCTTCCTCTTCTCCTAGGCAGTGGAGCAGGACTTCTCTTGCAGTCTAGAAGGACCAAATTTCAGTGCTTCTGAGGGTTTAGAAGGGGAAAAGAGAAAACCCAGGGCCCTGGTGCTAGGGGTAGAGAAGGGGACTTTACAAGGGCTTATGCTGCTGGTTTTCTGGTAAGGGAGACCGCCAGCTTGTTTGTGCAACATAAGGCAAATAGGAGTCATGAGGATCTGTTTGCTGAATCTATGTACACCACTGCCCCTACACCCGCCCCTGCCATCACGGTCTACCTCTATGGTGTTCCCTACAGTGAAGAATGACTTTCGGCAGATCGAGGGCCAATTCTCCCCATGAATCCAGCCCTTATTCCATCTCGCCTAGGCAGGAGACTTGACTCCTTTAGTAAGTCTTCCTGTCTGGCCAGGCACGGTGGCTCACACCTGTAATCCCAGCACTTTGGGAGGCCGAGGTGGGCAGATCATAGGGTCAGGAGTTTGAAACCAGCCTGGCCAATACGATGAAACCCATCTCTACTAAAAATACAAAAAATAGCTGAGCATGGTGCTGCACGCCCATAGTTCCAGCTACTTGGGGGGCTGAGGAAGGAGAATTGCTTGAACCCGGGAGGTGGAGGTTGCAGTGAGCAGAGATCTTGCCACTGCACTCCAGCCTGGGCGACAGCGTGAGATTCTGTCTCAGAAAAAAAAAAAAGAAGAAAAAAAAAGTAAACCCTCTGTCATGCCTCACACACACACACCCCTCCCTACTGATTATCCCTAAGCTATTCACAAACAGGCTGTCATCTCTCAAATCACAAAGAGAGAAGGGAATCTTTTCTTTTCCTTCCTTTTTTTCTTTTTCTTTCTTTCTTTTTTTTTTTTTTTAGACAGAGTCTGGCTCCATTGTCAGGCGGGAGTGCAGTGGCGCAATCTCAACTCACTGCAACCTCCGCCTCCTGGGTTCATGTGATTCTCCTGCCTCAGCTTCCCAGATAGCTGGGATTACAGGCATGCACCGCCACATCCAACTAATTTTTGTATTTTCAGTAGAGATGATGTTTCACCATGTTGGCCAGGGTGGTCTCTATCTCCTGACCTCGTGATCTGCCCGCATTGACCTCCCAAAGTGCTGGGATTACAAGCGTGAGCCACCGCACCGAGCGTTTCTTGTCCTTTCTCGCTCCTCCAGTTCTGCTCCATTTTTCTTCCCCTTTACAATGGAAGGCCTGGAAACAGTTGTCTACCCCATGCTGTCTCTACTTCAACTCCAATTCCCTCTGCAACCCTGTTCCATCAAATCCTTCTACTTCCCTCAACCAGCACCACCCTAATCTAAACCACCATCAGCTTTGATAGAGCTACCGAGAAAGCCTCCTAATTAATCTCCCTGTTTCAGTTTTTAATCTCCTCTGAACCATTCTCCATACAGTAGCCAAGGTGTTCTTTTAAAAATGTAAATCAGATCTGGAAAAAAAAAAAAAAAGAACAAACTATGGAAACACCCAACAACTTGGATGAATCTCAAGAGACTCAAAACCGAGTGAAAAAAGCCAATCTCAAAATGAATATTGTATGAATTAATTTACAAAACATTCTCTAAATATCAAACTTACAGAAATGGAGGATGTATTAGTGGTTGCCAATGGTGAAAGACTAGGGGAACTGAGGAGATGGTTATTGCTATTTTATCGCTATAATACAACAGGTGAGAAACTTGCAATGACGAAACTGTTTTATACATTGACAATGGTGGTGCAAAGAGGCCACAGTGATAAAGCTGTATAGAACTAAACATACACACCACACGCACACACGAGTAAAAGTAAAACTGGAGAAATCAAAATAAGATTAGTAGATTGTATTAATGTCAATATTCTGGTTATCTTGTAGTGTAGTTTTGCATTGGGGGAAATTGGGCAAGGCGACCCCAGATCTCTCTGTGTTATTTCTTACAAATGCATGCAATCTACAATCATCCCAAAAGACAAAAGTTTAGTTAAATATAAATTGAACCATGTCACGCCTTGGTGTTGAGCCACTCAATCAATGCCCTCCCATTGATTTTTGAATGAAGTGGCCTGTCCATAGACTACACCTGCCAGTAGCATGCAATCCACGATCTGGTCCCTGTCAACCTGTCCAGCCTTACATTCTGGTACTCTACCCAACTCTCCTGGCGCCAATCACAATCACCACCTTTTAGTTCAGAAGCATCAAGATTTGGTCCCTCCTTCTGGCTTGATTTCTGGCAAGCTTTTACCTGGCTCTTTCATATCTTTCAGGGTTCAGCTTAAACGTCACCTCCTCCTTTCCTAATCACACTATTTGCACTTTTCCTGCACAGGCTTTATCCAAATTTGATTATTTTCTCACTTCTTTATTGTCTGTCTCCCACACTAGATTACAAGCTCCCAGCGCAGGAAGGGTAGTCTGCAGACAATGCTGTTATCACCAGCGTCCGGCACTGTGCTTGGCACATGGTGAGGGCTCAGTAAACTGAATGCTGAGTGAATGAATGAGACACCACGCGCCGCTTTGCCATCGGTGCTTTCTTAGTGACGTTAAAACGCTCTGGATGGTGGCGTTGGGATTATGGATGGGGCTTCTTTAGCTCCCTCCGGCTTGTTACTGAGGGGAGGGGTCGTCGGTGGGTCTTTCACCGCCATTCCCAACCACCGGGTTCCGAAGTCGCGGGCCGAAACGGTGTGCGCCCCTAACCCGGGCCGCTTTGCAGGGAGTGCGCAGGTTAGCGAGGTCCCTGGTGAGGCGAGACGCCACCCTCACTAAGCTGTCTTTGTTGCTCCCACCTCCCCAGACCCAATCGCCTGCAGTGACTTGGGACTCCCTCTGGCCTCGAAGGCCCGCGGCGCGTGGGAGGTGGCCCCGCGCGCCTCCAACCCGCCTTCCTCCCGGCCTTCAGATACCAGCAGATCCTGGGGAAAAAGCCCGCCACCGCGTCCCCGCAGCCACCCTCTCCGCGCGCCCGAGCCCGGGAAGCAGCCGTGCCTCTCCAGTAGCTGGGGCACGTGGGCGCGTGGGATGCGTGGAGAGCCGCCCCCCTCCCCGCGCCCGCCAGGCCGCCTCCCGCGCGCGCGCCCCGCACGCAGCCCCAGTGCAGTGGGCAGAGCCGGGCCCGGCGCGCGCCCCGCCCCGCCCTGGGCCAGCCTCACCCGCCCCCGCGCTCCTGCTCTCTCCCCACCCTCCCTCCCCGCCTCCCCCGCGTGCGCCCCTCCCCTCGCGCCCCTCCCGCGCCCTACATCCACCGCCCGGCGGAGGGGGCTCAGTCCGCAGCCGCCGCCGCCACTGCCACCGCCGCGCTTCGGCCTCGGTGCAGGCAGCGGCCGCCGCCGCCGAGACAGCTGCGCGGGCGAGCATCCCCACGCAGTAAGCCTGGTTTCTCTCCGCGTGTGCGTGCGTATGTGCCTCCCGCCCGCCCGCGTCCTGGGTCCCGGGGGAGCGGCTGCCCTTCTGCCCCGCTGCCGCCGCGGCTCGAGGCTGGTCCCTGCGGTCCGGGCTGCCCGGCCTTCTTGGGCTGGGTACCTGCGGCCTCGGCGGCCTCGGTGGGGCTGGGGGCGTCCCGGGCTGCGGGGTGCGGGACGAGGGACTGTGAGGTCCCCTCTGGTGCGTGCCTCGGCCTCCCCTGGGTTTTCGCCTTGTTGGGGATGAGGAGGCAGTGCGGTGGAGGTGGGGGGATTGGGAGTGAAATGGGGGCTCTCTATG